GTATACTTGCGTGCGCGTTTGGGAGCAACAGTATTCGACTGTATTCACGATATGTATTTGTGAATACAGTAACGTAAATAGCGCAATTTATGGCCTATTCAATTGTTTTTAAACGAAAAGTGAATCAATTAACATAATAGACTTCTAATATAACTCAAACTCAATTATAACACACAAAATTTGTATTTTGAGTAATAAAAAAGATTCTCAAATTAAAAATACCCAAAAAAATATAGCAATCTTCAGAGAAATTACATAGTTACATTGAATACAGTTAAATACATAAAAATACATTGAATGCATGAAGTATAGCAGGTCATCTATAGTGCAAAAACATATGAATACATACTACAGATACATTTGAATACATATATACATCTGAATACATAAATTATATTAATTAAAAAAAACATATGAATACATTCATGGAATATAGCGAGACAGTGAATATAATGAAATACATAAAATATAACGGGATATATTGAAATACAATGGAAAAAAAATGACAATGAATACAATGAAATACATAGAATACAGCGAGATACATTGAAATACAATGAAAAAAAAAGTAACAGACTCTTCAAGTTGCTTAGCCCCAAACTTCATCGTCTTTGTTCAAGAACAACCCTAATGTCGTCTCGCCAAGAGGGCCGTGATTCTGACTCGAAACTCTCAAAATTTGGCGCAAAACCGAAAGAAATTCCTTATTTTCAAAGGAGGAGAAGAGAAAATGGTTTATCGTAGGAAGGAGTTGGAAACTTTTGAGGTTTGTTGGATCGAAGAACAGAGGAAAAAGTGGGTTGAGGTGTACTGTGGGCTTGATGATACTGTGCAAAAGGAGTACGATGGCCTCCTTTAGTCTAATACTCAAAAGCACATTCGTGGACACCTTGGAAAAGAAAATACCCCTGTGATTTCTGGTTCGTTTTACCCAGACAACTCGTATTATCTGAATTTTTTTTTGAATTTTTACCTCTTATAGCAAAGGTTAACACCTTATTTATTTTAAATAAATACCATTTAAAAAAATTATATTTTATAGATACCTTTTAAGGTTTATAGCAAAATATTTAATTTTGGTTACCTCCTAGCCCTAAGCCACTAAATACGCTATTCAGTTACACTATTTTCTTTCGCTCTCTACTTTGATACATCCCATTCTCTTCCCCATCCCATTAAAATTTCCGCTCTCCTCCTCCTTCTAACGGCATCTTCTCAACTGAAAAAATTTCCCAATAATAATTAATTGCAGATTATATATTTTCAAACAACGGTGTGCTCAAAGTATTGTACTTTCTGAACAAGGGATCTATACATTGCTTGGTCTTCAAGTTGAGTGGTTGTTCATTATCGATATCAAAAAGCAGTTTCCACAGATCTTTGAGCAAATTCCGATATGTCTACCGAAGAAGAAGCCGTCCGACTATCGGAAGAAGCTCTATTTGGCTACAAGGCGGAAATTAGGGTTTGTTCTTGAGCAAAGACGACGGAGTTTGGGGCTGAGCAACTTGATTTTCTGTTAATATATTTCAATGTATTTTGAACGTATCACGCTGTATTTTCATGTATTTCATTGTAATTATTGTCTTTTTTTCCATTATAATTCAATGTATCTCGCTGTATTCCGTGTATTTTTGTATTCACTATCTTTTTTCATTGTTTTTCAATGTATCCCGTTGTATTCTATGTATTTCAGTGTATTCACTGTCTCGCTATATGCCATGAATGTATTCATATGTTTTTTAATTAATATAATTTATGTATTCAGATGTATTATATAATTTCTCTGAAGATTGCTATGTTTTTGGGGTATTTTTCAGTTGAGATTCTTTTTTATAACCGAAAATACAAATTTTGTGTGTTATAATTGAGTTTATTGAGTTATATTAGGAGTCTATTATGTTAATTGATAACTTTCCGTTTAAAAATAGTGTAATCCCCTGTTTCACGTCGTGAATACAGTCGAATACAGTAATCTGTCCAGCTGTAATCCCATGTTTCACGCGATGAATACAGTCGAATACACTCGAATACAACAACTGATTAGCTGGACTTCCCTGATTCACGCCTACTTTTGCTACTGTATTCATGAATACAATAGCTTAAATACATCAAATACATCTTATAATCAAAGAAAAGGTATCTATAATCCGTAATATAGCAAATGGTATCTATAGATGGCTAATTACTACTAAAAGATAGTGCTTTATGAAAATTTCCCTTTTTTTCCCTACCTTGTTAGTGATTGTATTCATAGAGAAAGACTGGCGTTGAGAGAGAGACGGTGGAGAAAAATCTGAAAGAATGAGAGAGAAAAATAATACAAATAGTATTTTATGGCTTAAGGGTAGGAGATAGCCATAAATCGATATTTGGCTATAAAAAGGTAACTATGGAATATAATTTTTTAAATTTATTTAAAATAAATAAGATATCAACATTTGCTATAGAAGGTAAAAATTCCAATATTTAAGCATAAGTTAGAGCCGACCGTGTGTTGAGAGCTTTAGGTCCCATGTGACAGTACCAAACTGATTCTCCGGCCTAAAACACCTCTATTATTACAAAAATCAACCCAACATACTAACAATTTATTTATGATCAAGCAATCTTATCTGAAATTTAATAAAGTGAAGTGTAAAGGGAAGAAGGAAAGAGGTGTAATGTGAATCTGACGATGGTGCTGTTGAGTTACCACACTCCTTGAACTAGATGTCGATTTAAGACTTAAATTTTATGTGTTTAATCTTTAAAAGTTTTTAGTATTAAATTTATTATATTTTTAAAAGTACGAATTCAGACACAAAATTTGTTATATTTTTAATGAATATTTACATATAAATTTTATATATTCTATATCAAAAGTTATGTATTCATATGAACCTGATGCTACAAGGTTGCTCTCGCTTCTGCCTTGAACGAGCATACATATGGCGAGAGGTGGAGCTATTAACCCCTTAATTTCTTCGCATATTTATTATTTTTATTTTAAAAATATTTTCGTAAAATTTCTGTCTTTCCATTACTAAGGGCTCATTTACAATGTTAAATTTGTTACATTAAAATTATTTTTTCCACCACCCCAACCAAACGTCACTTAAGATTGTCAATACTTGCCCCATATTGAAATGTTTGACCAAACTTTAAAAAAAATTGAGTAGAAGATGTTTTGGAGAATAAAAAAAAAAATCAGTTTCTCTTCAAAGTACTTTTGAGAAAAATACACTTAGCTACTTTTTAAAAATTTGGCCAAACACTAATTATTGCTCAAAAGCGATTTTCAAATTAATAAGTCAAACACAAAATGCTTCTCACAAAAAGCGTCACTATTGAGAAAAAATACTTTTCAAAATAAGCGGATTTTAGAAGCTTGATCAAACATGCTAATAGCTTGTTTGGTAGTGCTTTTTTTTTTTTGCCAAAAGTATTTTTGGTTAAAAGTGTTTATTTTAAAAGTTAAGATGTTTGATTAAGCTTTTAGCAGAAGAAAAAAATTGCTTTTGAGTAGAAACAAAAGCAAAAATAAAAAATAAAAAAATAAAATGAAATGAAATAAAGAAGTAATTTTTCCTCAATTTCTTTTTTTAGAAAAATTCACTTAGAAATACTTTTTAAAAGTTTGACCGAGCACTAATTTCTGCTCAAATATACTTTTCAAATTGATCAACCAAATACAAATTGATTTTCTCCAAAAATATTTTTTTGGAAAAAATATATTTTAGAATAAACCGATTTTCAAAGCACAACCAAACAGAGGCTAATAACTCCCGTCAATACATGTTTCGCGCATTTGGAAACATTTAGTAGAAAAGAAAAATTGCAACAAAAAAATACATTTCATCTAGAGCTTGTTTGGAAAGCCACCTTGGAAATAAATTTGGATGTAATTGGATGTAATTACACAGTTTGACATATTTGTTTGGTCAAGTAATTACTTGATCAGCATGAAATTGGGTGTAATTAGAGGAGTATAATTACACTCTCCAATTCTCAGGGGGATGTGAGAATTGATGGTAATTACACTCTGTAATTGCAAGGTTGCTTTTTAGTTTCTTTCCTTTTTGTTTTTATTTTAATTTATTTTCTATAACTTTTTATTTCTATTTTTTTAATTTATTAATTTTATTTTACTTTTTAATTTCTTTTAAATTTAAAATATATTTTTCTTGTACATTATTTATCTTTTATTTCTCTATATTTACTTTTTGTGATTCCATAATTGCTTATATTTTATTTTTTATTCATTATCTTTTTTATTTTTTTAAACTACACTTCCTAGGTTAGAAATAATGAGTCATTAACAAACTTGGCATATAATGAGAGATGCAACTAAAGTGGAATTTCGTTGTTGAATGTGGTTATAAACTTATCATATTTCCTAATTATTAAGTTGCACTGGAACTTACTATTATTATGTTGAAATTTGACATATGTTAAACTATTTTATTTTATTTTATTTTTTTGAATTTATAAATTCTGTTATATTCGTCATTCCAATTTACTTATTTTAGTAGTATTGGCTCACATTGCATGTTATTCATTTTTTAATTAGAATTGATAGATCAGTTTTGTCAAACATTTGAATAATGTTATGACATTATATTGGTAAATATTAATTTATTTTACCAAACATGAATTCCATGATGTTCTTACAAAATGTATATTTTTTATTTTTGTGAGTATCTAAACTAAATATTATTAATTTAAAACAAATATAAATTATTTGTATAATATTAGTTATAAAAATATGATTACTAAATTAATGTATATACACGAAAAATACACGAAAAAATATACATCTTAAATACGAAATATAATATCATTTATACTTATAAAAATATATAGGCATATATTTAATATTAACTTTTAAATTTTAATATACTTAATTTAAAATTTAATCTAACTGTTTAATTACACTTGTGCAACCAAACAATAAATTTGTAATTACACTGTAATTACATTATGACAAATAAACATATCATCGTAATTACACAACTGTGTAATTACCAGGGTGTGTAATTATTACCCTAATAATTAAACCAATTCCAATTACATGATGACTTTCCAAATGGACTCCTAGTATAAAATGGAATAAACATTAGAAACTACGAATACATTTTCCATTTCGTACGACTAATCTCAAAGTAAGAAAGTTTTGTCACAGAATATACAACTAGTTAAAAAGGTCTAGCTTGATGATTACAATTGTGAGGCAAAAATTTAAGCATAATTTTAAAAGGAAAAATTAATATCTAAACCTAAAATTTTAAAAATAAAATCTCTATTTACCCCCAAAAAGGAGTCAGCAGCATCTGTAAAATCCATTTGTGGTTTGACATTTACCACAAAACTGCTGACCACTTTGAGATCCTATTTGCCAACACAAACACACTGCTTTCTCCACCAACGCAGTGGCGGCCACCGGTGCTGCCGCCGTCGGCCGCCGTTGCGCCACCATAGCCTGAAATGGAAGCCCAATTGAAAGTTCAAGATTGATCATCACTTCACCGGAGCTTTTCTGAGTAGCGGCCACCGGAGCCGCCGCCGGCTCTAACGGCGGCGGTCTTTCCTCAGTTGTACTACTGCTGCATTTGGTTTCTTCTTCAAGTGAAGATGAATAATTTGTGGGGTTTTCATCATTTAGAGATAAAGGGGTTGCTGCTACTGAGGTGTTTCTAAAGTCCAAGCAGATGTTTTTGGTGGCGGTGGCGGTGGCGGCAGTAGTGGCGGCGGTGTTGAGTGGTTGGTGTGTGTGTGGATCAAGGCCACGGCTAATGAGTTTTCTCTTAATGTGTGTGTTCCAATAATTCTTGATTTCATTATCAGTTCTACCTGGTAATCTTCCGGCGATCACAGACCATCTATGGACAAAAAGAAAAATAAAAATCAGAAAAATATTAAGAAACTAAAAAATATAAAATAATTCTAGCCTTGTTTACTCAAAAAATGAAATGCAATTACATCAAATGTTACTCCTTATATTCCAAGTTATGGGGCATATTTTTCAGAGCATAAGAGTTAGATTGATTAATTTTATGTGTGAATTTAGACATAAATTCTTTTAAATATTCAAAATAAAATCAAATAAGTATAAGTCAAAATAATAATAAAAATAAAGTTAAGCACCTAACTTTTTTTCTGGAAGATTTAGGTTTCTTTCTCTTTTTCTTCAAGTGGTCCCAAATGAGAGAGAAGAATTTGACTTTCTATTCCAGTATTCACACACTTTCCCAGCTACCAAACAGACCCAAACAAAATTTATTAATTCCATATATGGAACCAAGAAATATATTAGTACTAGATTGACCTAAACTAGGGTAGGCCGGCAGCGTAGCCCGGTGTATAAAGTATTATGTATTCACGCATAGTCCAGAGAAGATTCACGCCCCAGAAAACGTGCAAGGTCCGGGGAAGGGGCGTACCCAAGAGATATCATACGATATCATACAATGTGATGTAGGCAGTCTACCCTAATGCTATATCAGTAACTGATTCTACATCTCGAACCCGTGACCGATTGACATAAACTATATAACTAAAACTAATAAATGTGAACATACTTGTTTCCAAGCAAACTATGGAGTTTGATGATCAATTCATCTTCTTCTTCAGTAAAATTCCCTCTTTTCAAATCAGGTCTTAGATAATTTATCCACCTCAATCTGCAGCTCTTTCCACATCTTTGCAATCCTAAAGAATATATCCAAGAAAAAAAAAAGCAGTAAATAATCAAATCTCCACAAGAAAATAAAGGAACTCAAAACCTAATATTTGTCCCTTTTTATTTTCTTAACTCTAAAAATCATTTCTTTTCTTTTCTTGAGCCATTGAATTGGTAGGGTAGGTACTACAATTAATATAAGTACCCATAATCCTAGAAACAATTTCAAGAGAATAAATGAAAGAACAAAACAATAAAAACTTAAATTTAGAAAAGAAATAAAGAAATTAGAAAGAGAATAAAAACTTGGGTTTTATCAGTTTTTCCATTTACTTTCTCCAAACACACAAAAAAAAAACAAAAATGGGAGTAATTGTTAAAAAAAAAAAAAAAAACCTGCAGCTTTAGGGAGAGAACGCCAACAGCCTTCACCATGAGAATGAATATAATTAACAAGGCGTTGATCTTCTTCTTTAGTCCAAGCTCCTTTATTTGTATGAGCTTTCTCACAACATGGTGAACGTCCCATTTTATTCCTTCAAAAACTTTATAATAATTGGATTTTTGAGAGCAAAAATATGGAAAGGAAAGAAACAAAGAGAGTTGGATAAGTACTCTCCCTTGTCTACTACTCTCTACCTTTTTTTCTTCTTCTTCTTTGTGATAAGACTAAAACTAATTTGTGTGTCCTACTTCTAATCGAGAGTTGAGGGCAGAGAAGATATATATTTCGGGGTTGGGTGGGGGGTGGGGGGGTGGGGGGAGAGGGGAAGGTGGGCAAGGTTAGGTGGGGTATGAGTTTGATTGCAATTGTTTGGAACTATTGCCTTCTCCATACCCAAGGGGTTTTCTTTTTTGGTTAAAATTCCATGTGCAATGGTGTATAATCTTTTTATATTATTAAATTAAAAAAACTTACAACAAATAATTGTGTAAAAGAGAGCGGTTTGATACGTAAAGTATTTTGTGTTCATGTAAGATTCAGAAAAGAGCCGTACCTTTAGGGGTGATGTAGACAGATTACCTTAATGCAAGTATTAGTAACTGATTCTACAGATTAAACCCTTAATCTGTAGGTCATATAAAAACTATTTTTACTATTGCGTCAAGGCTCCGTTCAGACAATTAATTATGTGTAAGAAGACTAATTTGATAAACTAGACTGCAAGTAAATAACATATTACAATCCAATAATATTTAATTAAAGTATTTATATTACAATCCTTATATTATAATTTATTTATATTATTAATCTTTATATTATAAAATACTGTATTATAAATTTGTATACGAGTGGTGCTTTTTTTTTTTTTTTATTTAATTAGCGGCGTGACTAAGGGGGTGAAGAAAGGAATTTGACCAAGTTGGTGAGAAAGAGGAAGAGTGGTTAACAGATAGGCTTGAATTTGGTAGGTAGGTTTACTTTTACGATGAGTTGTCTTTTATGTTTCTGTTGTGGGGCCTCAATCTTACTGGCCCCACCTCTTTATGTACACTCCAAAGTTCTAACTTAGATTTACATTTGCCACGTAGACAATCATGTGGTGATTTATCCTTTGAAGGGCGTGTATGGTTATTGGCGTATTAAATTATTGCTTACTTACTCCGTTTCAATTTATGTGAACTTATTTGACTGGACACGAAATTTAAGAAAAAAATAAATATTTTTATAATTTATGGTCCTAAACAAGTCAGAATATTTGTATGGCTATAATTCTTTTAAAACTTGTGGCGATAAACATGCCAGAGTATTTATGTGGTCATAAAAGTTTCTCATGACGGGTAGAATTAAAAGTTTAAGCTAAATTATTTTCAACTTAGAGAGGGTTCATTCTTTTTGGAACAGATCAACAAGAAAATAGGTTCACATAAACTGGAACGGAGGGAGTATTAATTACCTTGTAAAATTACATATAATTTCCTCTTATTGACTAAGGTTATTGGCGTATTAAATAATTGCTTACTTCCTCCGTTCCAATTTACGTGAACATGTGACTGGGCACTAAGTTTAAAAGAAAAAATAAGGACTTTTATAATTTGTGGTCCTAAACAAGTCAGAATATTTTTATGGCTATAATTCTTTTGAAAGTTGTGGTGGTAAACATGCCAGAGTATTTGTGTGGTTATAAAAGCTTCTCATGACGGGTATAATTGTAAGTTTAAGCTAAATTATTTTCAAATTTAGAGAGGGGTCATTATTTTCGGAACAGACCAACAAGAAAATAGGTTCACATAAACTGGAACAGAGGGAGTATTAATTAACTTGTAAAATTACATATAATTTCCTCTTATTGACTAAGGTTAGACCAGCCATGATGTATGGGGCTGAGGTTGGCCAATCAAGAATTCTCATATCCAGAAGATGAAAGTAGCTGAAATGAGGATGTTGAGATGGATGTGCGGACACACTAGGATGGAAAAGATTAGAAATGAAGATATTCGGGAGAAGGTGGGCGTGGCTCCCATGGACGACAAGATGCGGGAAGCGAGGCTTAGATGGTTCGGGCATGTACAAAGGAGAAGCCTAGATGCCCCGATTAGGAGGTGTGAACGGTTGGCTTTGACGGGTACGAGGAGAGGTAGAGGGCGGCCTAAGAAATATTAGGACGAGGTGATCAAGCAGGACATGACGCAGCTTCAGATTTTCGAGGACATGGCCCTGGATATGGAGGTGTGGAGGTCGAGCATTAGGGTTGTAGGTTAGGGGATAATTGAGCATTTTTTGTCGTTGTATTGGCTAGTCTGATAGTGTTTTGTATAGGATTGCTAGTGGTTTTTGTTCCATTACACTTTTTTATTTTTTTATTTTTATTTTATTTTCAATTTTTATTATTACCATAACTATTGTCCTTCCACTTATTTGTTATCACTTACGGTGCTGATATTATTTGTTTGTTTTCTGTTGTAGTTACCGATCTTTTGTCTTTGAGCCGAGAGTCTCCCGAAAACAGCCTCTCTACTCTCAGGGATAGGGGTAAGGTTTGCGTATACACAGGGGCGGCCCTTCCATAAAGCAAGTAAAGCAACTATTTTAGGCCCCTCATTTGTGGGGGTCAATTTTTTGTTACACCTAATAGGCTATTTATAAGTTTAAAAAACGATTTCTGTGAAGTGAAAAAGTTTGGTTTCTTTCTTTAACAATTATAGAGAAGAAAGATTTGCAACTGTTATGATTTATGCCACGAAAATTGCACTTGAAATAAATATCGAACCCGAATTACGTAAGAAACGTATGATATATAGGAAGTAACATTTTGATGAGAATGTTGATAATAAAATCTCAAAATCTTTCGAAGAGTCTTTTGGAGTTAATTACTTTATACATAGTAGGCAAGGCTACTTTTTTCGCTTCAAAATAGATTTGAACATTCGAAGCATATGAAAATATTTTTGATTTTCTATTTAGCGGTAAAAATTAAGACTACTAGATGACGAAAATTTTAAAAACTATTGCCTTAATCTTGAATGTTCCTCAAAGCATAATAATCAATTCAATATTGATGGTTCAAATTTATTTTCCGAATTGACACACACTCGGTCAAATAAAAAGATTTGATTCCTTTTCCAATGCTTATATTATTTATGGAATAACGTTAATAACTCTCGTTACCGTCGCTTCAAGGGAAAGAAATTTTTAAAATTAAAAATTGATAAAATCTTACCTAAGATCAACAAGGTCTCAAAAAGGTTAAATGGATTAGGTATATTATCAATTAAGAAAAACTTATTAGGAGTTATTGATTAAAATAAAAATATTAATAACTTTGTATCTAGAAACGCTAGAAAAATAGATTTCAAATAAATAAATAATTTTTTAAAAGTTAAGGCCCCTCATAAAGTTCGGCTTTAGGCCGCAGAATTCGTCAGGCCGTCTATGCGTATACTTTACCCTCCCCATACCCCACTAGTAAGATTATTACTGAGTTGTTGTTTATTAACTAAAGCAAGATTTTTCCTTATTTTTAGCTTTTCATCTTTATTTCCGTTTTGAAAATCGACTAATTCGGATTCATACTAACAAAAAAATATTATTTCGAGATAAAGAAGTGTTTCATACTAAGGTTTGAATTCGAGATAATTAATAGATAAACACTTATTACTCTACCACAATTTTAATGATAGATTTTTTTTGTATTCAATATTCTCGTCCTCTTTTTGTGTGCTTACTTTTTGACTTTTCTAGTTTTTGTCTTTGAAGAAATTTTAACTACATAATATTCTTACACCTATTTGGAAATAATGGGCATATCTATGAATAGAAGGAAAAGAGCCGAATATACCTTTATACCATCGAAAATAATTTTGATATACCTTCCGTACTATTATTTTGTCATCTCAAACTCTATCGTTATATTGAGGCAAAGATATACTGTTGTGAACCAGCCCGGCTTAGTAAGGAATTATGGGGACGAGGTTGATCCAGTTGGGACTATTGGGCCTGGAGCTAAAGGCCCAATGATTAAACAACCCAATAGAATGCTTGGACATTATATTTGGGATTCGGGGCGAGATACGGGGCATGCCCATTGTTGAGAAAAGTGTCTGCTTCTCCTCGTCTCCTATTCTCTAACACTAACATTCTCATCCCCTTCTTCTATCTATCTCTAGTTACTTTACTTCCTGCAATTTCTATTGTAATTCTGCTACTAAGTTGTTACATCTTGATATTTGAGTTGTAATCACATTTCAGCCTTAATAATAGAGTAGAGAGGTTTCAATTATTGTTACTGTGGATTTGAGTTTATTACATTGGTGTTTTCATCCATCGGACTCCAATGGAGGTATTAGATCGATTTAATGGGAACGGCAATGCATTGAGCTGGCTTTTTCAAGCCGAGCAGTACTTCACCTATCTTGGCTTCGCGGAGAAGGATTGGTTACCTGTCCCCTCCTTTTACCTTGATGGTGAAGCTCTTACTTGGTTCAATTGGTTGTTTCGCAACAAACAATTCTTCGATTGAACGCATTTTAAGGAAAAATTGCTTATGCGATTTCGACAACGGACCATCAGTGCTTCGGCGAGAATGGGAGTTACTTCCCGAGCCTGTGTTGACCATGTGAGTTGCGCTACATTGATTATTCTAGCAACCTATGTGTCTCCTTTTGCTGCTCCGATCCATATTCCTAATTTTCCTTAGTCTGCATCTACTCAAATCCCCGAAGTTCTTGAAACTGACTCTCTTCTCGTTGATGGAGACAAGTCTGTGGTTGTCGTAGACAAGGTGTTCGATGAAACTCCATAAAGGATTGAACAAATTGCTAGTACTGAGATTTTGTCTATAGACTCGGAGGAACTTTTTCATACAATGAAGATAAACTCTAATTCATATGACGAAAAATCAGAGGAGGACCAGCGAGTCTACACTAAGGTGGAGGAAAATTCAAGCGACACTGCAAATCGGTTGTTTGACAAATTGGCTCAAATGCATATACCTCATTTTCTGGTTCTTTTTCCTTGCTGGGAGTATGTAGTACCAGAGAACATAGCGACAACTGTTGAAATTACACATCCATTTACAGATGTCATACATCTTCGAATTCACAATAGTCCATGTCTATCGAAATTTTTTACTGTCATTCGTGGGACTAATTCAAAAATTTGCAGTTGGTTTGATACTGGGAAGCTTATGTTATATATGGTATTGGTGTATATGGGAAACAAGGATATTGACTCTGCTGACAATGCAATTAAGC